TACGATAATTATCGTACACCTGGCAACACTGAACCCGTTACTAGAGTGGTGTACCTAATAAAGTGGCCGGTGAGTGTATATTTAAGATGCACTTAATTTGTCTCTAATAAATGGTTATGTGCCACAGAGCTTTAAGGTTGCTGTAATTAAACCTTTACTTAAGAAACCTGATCTTGATTCAGGAGTTCTGGCCAACTATAGACCTATATCTAATCTGTATTTAGTATAAAAAGTATTTAGTTTTTGTTAACCTTGCTTAGCTTGAATAGGAAAACACCAAAAGGTAATTAACTGTAGATATAATTACTTTTCCTCAAAATATGCCCACTAATTCATAAGACATCTTGCTAATGTTAAGACGTGTGAATACACACTCAAATATGGGCCAAAATCATCAACTTTGCCTTCGGGTGACAATAAATAATCAAGSCTGGAATGGTGTAGGAACTTGGATCGTGTGGATCTATGTTTTTTATATCATCAAACACGGATTCAATTTTCCAACTYTCAGAGAGTGCCCGTGTGTTCCACTCTTCGTGAAAACTCTCCTCAAACAGACTACAGGATATTGTAAATTCCAGCCAGTGACAGACCCCTGAACTCATCTCCATAGGGGGCCTGGACCTTCCTTATCTGATGAGTTGACCTGACTGCATTAAGGTATCAGTGAGCCTAACTTTATGTGAGACTGAAAAACCACAYAACTCATGAAAACAACTATTTTTGTTTTATTCTTTGTTTTGTACAACCTATATTATTTCATGATTTTAAATGTATTTGTTTATTCAATTATGTCTCATTTAACTTCTTTTGTTTCAGAAGTTAAGGTGAAAAGTCTCTTTATTATTCTATTTAATTTTTATATGAGGTTTTTGCTGTTAAAATCATGTTGCACTTCCAGCATGGTATAAACAAATGTTAATTAGTTAAGATTTTGAAGTATTAATAACTTTTACTAAAAAGTTATATGTCAAAGTTTACAATTTCTTTTAAGTTAAAATACTCCTTGGTGTTTTTATTGTTTCAGAAACAATAAAAAAAGTCTTTGTCTCATTGGTCAGTTCATCTTGCAGGACCAAGTCATAAAACTCTTAATCATCATCATAAAACCCAATTAGCTTTGATCTCCCTCTCAGTTTAGTCTTGTTTGAATCTTGTGTGGAGTTTACTTCTCTCCCAAGACTTGAAACGAACAGTTTTGAACAGAACAGAACCAGAGTGAWTGGAAAATAACTCAGAATCTTCAGAATAACTCTTCACCTGATCGAAACCCCAGATGCAGGCCACATATGTAGATTCTTCATCCTAAATTTATGGGATTTACATTTTAGAGTGACCGAACGTTGATTCATTGAACAAATCTTTTAATTACTTCTTCATTTAAGAAATAATTCTGATGAACAGTGTTGTTTTTGAAATCCAATTTCCTGCTAAGACTGTGCAAACCAGACACAGCTGAACCRATGAYCTGTGAATACAAGCTTAGCTAAGATTTGTTCTGGGTTAATAACAGATAAACCTGTTATTCTACAGTACTTTTATTTGTTATTTGCAATGGGCGGCTGTGGCAGAGTGGTTAGGGYAGTTGTTCCGTAARTGATATCTTCTCCTGTTCCATCCATCTCAGTCTTAATGTTCTTGACACTTCACCCATTTTGCCTACTGGGGGTGGTCATACGGCCCAGTGTTGCCGGTGCTTGGCTTCTGTCAGTGTGCTCCAATGCAGCTGTGGCTATATCATAGCTTACCACCAACAGTAAACAAATGGGTGAATAAAGGATTTGAAGTCTGTAGGGACTTGACAAAGCACTATATAAGTTCAAACTATTTGCTTTATCATTTTGAGTAAACCTTTATTCCTGATTTTCTTTGAGTTCATCAGTTTACGAGTTTTGAAGGAATTTATTAGTCATTTAGAAACTGATTAGAAAGCACCACATCATTTTCTTYATTTTCCTTTTTAAGGCTTGACTTTTATAATCGATTGTTATGTCTTGATTAAAATAGGTTTGGTTACATACCCGAAACACCTTGACAACACATAATAAAACCGTCAATAAAAACATCAGGGAAGCATTGCTGTCCAGAGTGTCTGCGATTCAGCCATTGGCCTGTAGTGGGRGTACCAGGCACTGAAGAAACATGTATACATAGACCGGAACTTCCGGTTTCGGACAGCGCTGCTTTGCTTGCTTCAGCCGTAAGCAATAAAGCTTCGCTCAGAACCAGATCTGGGGTTGTATGGTCCATTCGCTTCATAGTTTTAATCAGATTCAACATTTATGTGATCTCGTCACGATTTCAGTTAACAAACACTAAATTTTCTTACAGTTTCACTCCTCTTCATCCATGGTAAACTAAAATATAACCCTATATTTTATCACTCACCTTTCTTACCATAAGTTTCTGAAACCATCATATTCATTTATTCCTTGGTTTGTAAATAGTTTGTAATTATTCTTTTTCGTAATAGAACCACATAAAATATAAGTACTGTGTGTATGGTCTCTTTTATGTGTGTTTCAGAAGGTCCAACTGTGCTATAAACCTAGATTCCAAATCTAAGCTAAAGCTAAATAAAGTAGAGCTAACAATAATCTAAACATAACAGAGTATGAAATATTAATATTCTTATATATACACTGAAGGTGTTATTTACAACAGAGTTAGATTTAAAGCTGTTTTCTGTTAAACTTTTGTTTACATCTATTAAAGTTGCAATCCCCTCTGCAGCTGCTCTCACTCCCTTTGTAATAAAACCATAAGCTAGGCATAGGAGGAAAAAAAGGGCTACCTGCCCCCAGTGACAGAGGTATGCATATCGGGCGTGTCCTGAAAGGACACTTGTCTTGGCATCTCACCAGCAAGGCACTCTTTGAGTGACAGAAGGATTAACAGCTCCCATGGCAACAACATCTTCATTTTACAAGGTCACAGATTCTCCTTCTTCCCATCCAGCTGACAGGGAGTAGAGGACACTTCCTGGGAAAATGGTCCTTCGTTAGGTTCTGGAAGAAAAAAAAGGAACACCAGTTTTTGGGAAAACAATCTGCATCACGTTTTCAATAACACAAAAGGCCTGTGAACAACAGGTGTGACATTAAGAATTCATTCAACCAAARAAGCAGAGCTGTGGTGTAAGTAGCTTGTAAATGATAATAGAMGACTTAATATTTCAAATCAAAATCCAACGTATCTAAAGTGAATACAAACAAAATAAAGCTAAAAGTTTTTSAGGGAATAAAAGTGACCATATTGTTTTACTATTGAGATTTTTTAAACAGGTTTAATACTTTGAAAAGTATAAAAGTTACATAAAACAAAAGTAATTGGATTCATCATTAAAAGAGCAGAACATTCTAATTTATGAAAAGATAAAATTGCATACAGTTGGAGAAACATTTTGACTAAAAAAACAAACAAAAAAAAATACACAACTGTAAACAACAGGGTGAACCCAGCCATATGAACTTAGCAGACAGTTTCAAGTCTGGAAAATGTTCTTTAGTTATGTTAGAATTTATCTTTACACATCGATTTCACTTCATCTGCTTGCATTAACACCTATTTCTAAAACAATSAGAAGCTCTTTTCAGTCTGCAGCTAGTTTACTAAAAATAAGTATRTGTCAAATAAAGCCATTAGATAAACACCAGTAAGATGGAGGAAAAGCAGCATGCCTTATAATGAAAAACAGTCACTTTCAGGTGTGCAGAAAGTGTGAGTGAACATTTGTTGGATTTCAGATAAAACATCAAACCTGCAAAACCTGCTTTTTTATTTTTGATGTTTTTGTTTTGTCAGTCCATTTGCAGCTTATATTCACTCACCTGAACAATGGAAAAAAGCCAGACTCTCTCTCTCTCTCTCTCTCTCTCTCTCTCTCTCTC